TTTTTCCCCCTCCCCCCCCCCCCCATTAATTTCTAATTTCAATATTATGGATCTCAAAAATCCTGCTTTATTGAAATTAGATCCTGCTTTGAGATTGAATGCTAAAAAAAGAAATATTACAAAGTCATTGTGCTTCATGTGTTAAATTCAATGCAATCCCAGTGATTATGGCTTTCAAATAATTTACTTTCAACATGCAGGTGCAGTGGGTTTCTTTTAAAGTTTGGCTTTTACAAAAAAGATAATCAAAGAACGCCATCATTGACATTATAAATGAAACTATCCTTGGTATCCAGGTTGTGTCGAGAACCCAACCACATACCGCTTCGATGTAATGAAGTGGAGAAGAAAGCTGAGACAGATATGCGGACTTACATTGAGAACCGAATTTCTGAAGCTGTGATGAGAAAATGTCACAAATGTGGCAAGCGATTTGTTAAGGAAACGGGCTGCAACAAAATGACTTGTGTGTGTGGGGCTAATAGCTGTTACGCATGTCGAGCCGAGGACATAGACTACAACCACTTTAACAATAATAAGAAGTAAGTTGATGGGCTCTTTGTAAAAATGAGGACTCGACTAATTTGTTGGAAATAGTGGAATAAGATATGTTTAGGCTTGAAATGAAAAGTCAGTACTATTAAAATTATGTGAAAGCTAATATATACTGCACGCTGTACATTAAAAAACACCTTGATGAAGATGGGTCAAGTTGCGGTTGTATGAGTTCTTGAATGATATTGATGTGAGGAACTGAATAATTTAAATCTCTTTTGGAAGCAAAGCTGTGTCGTAGCAGAGCTGATTAAATCGCAATTTTTTTTTTTTTAAATTGGATTTTTTTATATTAAAATCGTATTTTGTTATTTTAAATCTGATTTTTATAATTGAAATTGTTCTTTTTTCTTATTTTCTTTAAGAATTGCTGAATTTGAAGCAAAATAATTTTTATGAAGATTAAACATCATGTAGTTAATATTATTTGAATCAATTTTTAGGATTTAAATAGACTTAAATATAGTGACTTAAATTAATCATTATTCGAAAAATTAATAAAACCTTTTTTAAATCCATTTAAAAGTGCTTCAAATTTTTCCCCAAAATTAAATTTTCTCTTTATATTCTAATGAAAATGATTATGAAATATCAAATAATTAACTAAAATATACTTAAAATCAAGGATAGTCACAGTCCTAGTATAACTGCTTCTGTGTAAAATTTTGTAAGAATAAGAGTTCCAACTAAGTTTCACATTCTCAAAATATCAATATCGATTCCACCAGAACTGTCTCATTAAATAATTTGAATAGGAAAACTAACTTCCCAGCTTTTTTAACCCCAAATCAATTCCCAATATATTAAAAACTGAAAAGTTTAAATGAATAAAAATGAAATTTACAAATATAAAAATTACAAAATTGTGCAATCATAATTATATATAAAGAAATAATATGTTATGTGCCTAATAATACATAAAAACAAACAGAAGTTCTTTTCAGCAAGTGCCTTTAAATATATATTAGATTAGATAAATATAATTACAATCAATTAAAATCAAAACTTTGCATTTAAATCAATGATTTTTATTGATCTGATTTAAATTTTGATTTCAATCAATTATCTTAAGTCGGTTCATTCATCTCAACCCTGTGTGTATACAAACTCCATCAGATATGTATTAATTTAATTTAATGCAGGGCTGGGGTATCCGAAACTTTTGATACAATTTCAGGCCTCTAAATAAAACAGACATGAGATGTCAAGGACAGGTGTTATTTTTTTATTTTTCAAAAGCTGAAAAACTCAATAGACATTTTTTGGAATTAAAATATTGGGCAGAATTGATGTTACTATGTATCCAACCTCTACCAATCTGTTAAATGTGTAACAAGCCAATAATAAAAATGAAATGCGTAGCTCACATATTTGTTTTAAATAAAACAGTATGGAAAATTTAATTAATGTCACTGTGAGAATAAAAAAAAGTAAGTAATTATATTGAACATAATTTAATTCCTGTGATTGCTTCTAAACCATCTAATAATATATAGAGCACATCTGTTTCCAAAATGGAGAGCTTCTGACACGTAAGTTTTTGAATCCCTTATAAATCTTTGTTGTTTCTTATTTGGTCTTGTCTACTGAAGAAGGCCATCTCCTGTGATTATCCTCTCTTCCATTTTGTGCCTCAACATATCTTGCTCCACTATTTCCTTCACAGGGCTTGAATGCAGTCCTTCATATGTTTTCCTTTATAATATGTGGATGACTACTTGCAGGTGTGCCAACACAGACCCTAATGCAATACACCAACGAGATATGGAAGATGCTGCTGATAAAGCTAAAGCTCAGTATCTGCTTGATCATCCAGAGGCCAAAGATATTGAACTGAAGACCGACTTCAAGGACATGATCAAAAATGGTAAGCTTGCTCTTAAAAGAAATCTCAAGTTTGCTGTGATTTGATCATTTCAACAAATTTACTGTGCGGGAGGAGAAGTCGATTTTAGTTTTCTGTTTTCATTTTATTTTAACAACTTCAGGTGAAAACAAGATAAATGTGACTAATAAATTATCAACATACATACAACCCCGGTTGAATTTTAAAATATTTTCTTAATTGAGAAACTAATAACAAGATGAATTCCTTTGCAAATATTTCTTTTTTATAGTCAAGCCAAAAAAAGGACGGCGAAACGGACGCAAGTGAGTGGTCTAAAGTTTCATTTGAAATATGTTTATCTCTTTACCTCCCTTTTACCAAAACGGACTCTGGTGAGTGGTCTAAAGTTTCATTTAAATATGTTTATCTCTTTCCCTCCCTTTTGTTTATCTCTACATCTTTAGACAACTGGCACCAAAAGCCATTAAAAAAAATATAATAGAGATGTTTTTTTCTGCCAAGTTAAGATTGCAACTATAATTGCAAAGGCATTAATTTTAATCCCACAACAATTTGTCTTGCTGTGTTCCTTCTTCCGTGCTTTACTTAATTAATGTGTTAACACATTGTAAAACTAAAGGGGATGGGGCCTTTTCGTTATATTTAGGGTCACATTTGGTGGAGTGGGGATGTTTCTCACTTTCGGTTGGGGGCTGATCAAATACCCTGAAAGTATCGATGCTCCATTAATAAGATCATCGCATGCATTTTACATATAAGACATTTAAGTTCTTGCTTCAGGCTGTTATGACACTGATGCACATGTTAAAACATAGCTGCGCAAACAAAACTTTGAGGCAATGAAGGAAGATTCCACCTTTATTAAATCATTTTTTTTTTTCCAGCCCCATTATGTAGATAATCTATTGGATACAGTAACAAAGGTGAAAATCTTATTTGAAAATTTCATTGGGATCATATCTGTTTTACTGTGAAAAATTAGAAATTACACATGTTGCTTGGGTTCTCAATATAATGAAAGAATTATCAAAAATCAAGAAGGCAAGATATGCATGCATTCAATACGATGATAATTAAATGAAAAATTCAAAAACAAACTTTTTTTGACTTTTCATTCACTTTAGTTCTGTTTTTTTTTTTGTTGCTATTGTGCAGATTTTTTGGGAGTTTTTTTATCATGCAGGTTGGCATGAATGCAACCTGCGGTTGGGAAACCCTGAACTAGAGTATAGTTGATGATGTAATTTAAATATTATCATTAATCAAATTTAAAACCATGAACCTGATTTGTTATTTTTGAAGTGTTTGATAGATTTATGTTGTTTTTTTTTACCAGCTGTGCTAATTCCTTTAATGTACAACTTTGTGGTGCATAGTTGTAATGTTTGTAATTTAGCAGTTATTTTAAATTTGTCTGTGTCATTTTCTTGATACTTTCATCCACAGTACACCGTATCCAAGGCATTTACCAAGATATGATTATTATGATGAAGGTGATGATGATGATGATGATGGTGATATTGACGATGAAGATGATGTTGATATTGATGGTGGTGGTGGTGATGATGATGATGATGAAGGTGATGATGATGATGTTGATGGTGATGTTGATGATGATGACACAGATGATGATGATATTGTTAATGATGTTGGGGATATTCTTAAAGCATTTTTATATTAAAGTAAAAATATTAAATATCATGCAAAGACAGGGGCAGAGATAGCATATTCACACAATTATAATTTCAGTGGTGATGTCATTGTTTTCTGAACATTATAGAGAGCTAATATGTTCCATAACATTTTGGTTTAAAAAATTTTGTCAGAAAGAATACTTAACAAAATAATGTGTGTTCTTGATGATTTAAAGATACAAAACGCTACCTATGAAAAAAAACTCCTCTTGATAGAATTAGCAGTCTGTGTTTCTTAAAATTAGAAACAAGGGAATTGTTATAAAAATTTATTAAAGAACTTTTTGTGGCTTAAACAAGAAGAATTTCTAAATTGTTTTCAACACTACTGATGAATTTAAACAAATTTCATCCCATAGATAGTTTTTTTTTTCTGTTTTGTATTGCATAATGAATTACATAAAAATATGCTCCTAATTTACTTTTAAAAAATTGTTTTGAAATGGATGTTGGTTTACAAAAGTGAATTTGTTATTAAAAGATGTTACAAATACAAGATACAATAGCTACATTATAAAATGATGATTTATCAAATGTAAAAAGAAAATTATTAATGTGTTTAAAAGAGCAAAATTTCTTATGGCTAGTAATACCATGTTGCAATAATAAATGAAGAGTTATTATTCAATAATGAACTTAACTCATCTTGATTGTGCTACAGGTTATGTGTACTTAAAAGTAATGAATATACCCTTTTTGGTTACCCTTTTTTTTTTTAATTATTCATTTATTAATATATTTACTGCTATTATGCCTCTTATCATAAGGTGTGTTACAAATGGTTAGTTGTTGTTACAGAGGTATTTAAATAGTAAAGGAAATTAAATAGTTATAAGAATTGTTTTTGAAAATTGTAAAGTTGTTTATTAAATACAAGGGCTTTCATTCTTTGTTCTCAGGTGCTCAAGAATTTTTAATTTTCTTCATTATAAAACACAACCCCCCCCACAAAAAAAAAAAATTCATGTTGCTCAGATTTTTTGCTTGCCATGTACAAAAAAAAACATGGAAATGTTTGTGTTCTAAGAAAACTAAAAATATTATTAATAGTTTTTCTTCCCCACAGTTTGGGTGAGTGAAACAGAAAATTAAAATTTTTCAATTATTGCTTTTATTAAAATCTAATGTCACCATTTGAAATCACCTCTTGAATGAGTTTGAAAAAAAAAAACCATAGTAATCATGGAAAATATGCACACAGCATATCATGGACATCAATATTCAGCTTTGGGCAGACAAATGTTGCACATCATTTTTAATCATATTTATTTATGAAAATTATTTTTTTAATGTCCCCCATATAAGAAACTTTAAATGTCCATCTCTCAGGATTTGAAATGAGCTGGAAGTAGCTTGCAGTGAACTTGCTTTTTGTAGCAAAACATTCTGGATAAAAAAAATTTGTATCAATAGAAATAAGTCCTTGTGAGTTTTTGAAGCTCTGCAAAACACGCACACAAATATTTTGATTCATTTATTACATTTAGAAGATTTTTATATGATAAACATGATAACTTAAATTATAACATCAATTTTATGCATTATATTTAACATACAATGACTGTAGTCTACAGGTCAGTATTATTTGCATTCCTATGTCAAAGTATCAATATTTTTTTAACTTTTAGGGGGCAAAAAGCTGCTGATGTCCTCAGTAAACAAATGCTGTAATTTTGTAATTAAAAAATATTTCAGCTTTGTTACTATAAATATAAAACAATTTGCAATTTCAAATAAATATGTTTTGTTTGAACATTTTGTTGTTGTCATTTGATGGATTTGAAATTTTAAACTTTATATTTTGATTGTTTTAAAACATTTGTCCCCACACTGCACATAAGTTTAATAAATTTCCTCACAAATTGTAAACTCACAAACCCATTTTGAAAAAATACAAAAATAAGAGTCAAATAATCTAATCCTGGCATAGCATTAGCATCATAAAGATGCACATTTTTGCAGTCAGTAAGATTAGACATTAATAAAGACATAATACAGTTTTAATGCCACCGAAAACCTATTCTCTCCCCCCACCCCCCAAATTATTGAACAAACATGCTCATAGCTAGTAGTGGCATCCCAAATTTCCAGGAACCTGTTCTACAAATGCAGGTAGCATTTAGGAACATGTTCTGTGACCTTGAATTTAATTATTTTGGGATAATTCAACAACCAGTTTGCTAAAGCTTTTAAAATTTTAAGAAATAGTTCAAGCAAACTGGTTTTATGCCTCAACTGTTCATAGTCTTACTAATGGCATGGAAAACAATCACAGCTCAAATGTAAAAATAAGGACCATAATTAGTGGAAATTAGCTAAACAAAGCATGGGAAAACCTGAAAAAAAGAACGCAACAAACTCGTCAGCAAGAAGCCTTCATCGGCGGACAAACAACAGTAAAAACAGAGTTAAATAATAATAACACTTACCTGAAAAGTAGTATTCAAGAGGACCATCTGATGAAGGCTTCTTACCAACTCGTCCGTTGTTTTGTTGCGTTCTTTTTTTTTTCCAGGTGTTCCCTTATATGTTTTGCTCATTTCCATTTTTCGAACCTGATTGTAGTCCCTCCTCCTTATGACCATCATTAGTGTGTCACATACCACCTAAGTGTAATTGGATATTTTCCAAATTTTTTTACTTATCAAGACTATGAGGTACATCTCTGCATTTTTGGAAAGAGTTAACAGCTCAACGTTTTACAGCCCTATTTAGGGATTGCATATAATACTCAAGCACAAAGAAGTAAACATGTAGGCTCTTTTTTCTGAAGTACCTACTGCCAGGCCCGTTCTTAGGCATATGCTGAATACGCATCCCCGTAGAGCCCCGAACGTGTGGGGTCCCCGTGAGGCGCCCTCGATCACCCCTTTTTTTTTTTAACTGGCACTGCAACTGTCTGTGTCACTCACGTTACCTTCCTCATCCTGAAATTTATCATTCTGAGTTGAATTCGGAGGCAGGGGAAAGGAAGCAGCAAGGGGGAGCTTTGGGGGTGGCAGACAGGAAATCGGGGGGCTTGGCCGTGGGAATGGGAAAGTATAAAGAGCGATCGGTTAGTCTGGCTAAACCATTACACATTTTCTCTAATGGCGGAATTATCAATATGGTTAGTGGTTACACGCGAGCAAAGAGGAAACATTGATGAAGGCAGAATGGAGGTGCTGCAGTGGTGAGTGGTGTTTTCTCTTCAGCTCGAGGGAGCTCCACTCCCGGACCCCCCCCCTTCCGGGGCCCCAACCTACGCTCCATATTTAGGGCCCCCAAACTCCTAAGAATGACTCTGCTACTGCAATAAAATGTGAACCACTTATTCCAAATAGTGCAGAAAAAAACAATTTTAACAAAATGTGATTAAAATAAAAAGTATTTATTGACAAAAAATAATAATTTATACAGCAGCCTCTAACAAGAAAATGAAAATAACTAATTCTTTTAAAATATGTTATGTCTCTTCTACTGCCATAACTGAAGCATAATCTTTATACAATATTGTCTTCTTGTCCGGATCAACAGCAGCAGATAACATTTCTTCTAACTCCTCTTGTGTGAAGGGCTCACCTAAAAATAAAGATTAATTTTGAAACACTGCAAATGATTGTTGCATACTAGTATTCATTAGTTAAACATTAGTTGTTGTTTTTTTATCTGGCTATACAATAAATATGATACATTTAATTGTGGCATTTAAAAACTGTTTTGAATTAGTATTTTCAAGTTGTTAGAATTTTATTTTTGAAAAGATTGTAACCATGAGACAAAATCAATGGTTTAAAATATGATAGAATAAGTACATGAAGTAGACCCCTACATTCGTTTCCTTCTCTCACTCTCTCTTACTCTTCCCTTTTGCTTCTATTCCAAAGCATCTTCGAAACACTCAACTACCTCCTAAAATAACATCATCATCCCCTACTTTTCTGCTGAGCTTTTATTCTCCATTATAATTTAATCTATAATCATAATGACAGTGACAACTTCTTAGCCCAAAAGTTTGATCATTCTAGACAATATTTTATAATCAAATCTTTTTTTTTTTTTTTCTTTCTTAAGTCTTCACCATTATCATAAGCTTTGTTAAATGGCAGATAACTTAAACTTTGAGCTTTTATCAAATTAAAAAAAAAAGTAAATAAAAATAATAATACAGGGGATAAATCTCACCATCTTCAGTCATGAACTTGGTCAGTTCTTCAGCAGTCAAGTAACCTTTCTGTTCAGTGTCCAACACTTGAAATGCTTTGAGTATTTGATCTTCTGGAGATGGCTTGTACCTTTGAACAAAGTAAATATAAATTGAAACCAGAATGTAGTGGCATCATCAGCTGGCATTTTTTTCTAGGAGAGCAATATAATTCACTATTTGAGTATTTCAAAAAAGTTAACAAAAAACATCAAGTACAAGTAAATGTGACAACACTGGCAACAGCTGTGAAAATTTCCACAACAAAAACAATTGACAGCTTATAATTCTTTATAGGTTTCAGCATTTGTGATTGAACATTCTTCATGTCATGTAAACACTTGTATTGGTGGATAAAGGAAAAACATGTAATTGGACAAAAATAAAATGAGGGACATCGTATATTCATTATATAAAAAAAGTGGTGGATACTGAAAGTCTGTTTTGTGTGCTCAGGTGTAAGATACCCTGATTTGTTGCAAAATAATTTATTTAAAAATGTTTAATTACCTTCTTTCCATAAGTACTTTTGTCATCATGGGGAGGAATTTCTCAAACCTAATGTACCCAGTGGGTTCTTCTTCTTCAATCTGTGAAAAATACATATTGTATATACAACCAGGCAAACCTCTTTGTTTTTAATGTATCAAAAAGCATTTGTTATTAGCAAGAAATAAGTTTTATTTAAATTTTGAAATTAAAATAATGTTGCTGGTTGCTAGCAATCCTTGTTAAGCCTGTGCATGATTTATAATAGAATGATTTATCAAAATTTTTATCGCTGTGGTATGGTTGCTTTGTTGTTGTTTCTTTTTAATCACTTCAGTTTATAACATTTAGTCATTAAATTTACTTTTACCATTAAAAAATGTGGATATTCAGTTAAAAGTGATTTCTCCTCTCTACTGAAATAAAGATAAATAAAGGTAAACACTACCTCTGCTAGCATGTCATGGAGTTCTGCTTCACTTGGACAGCAGTTAAGAGACCGAATAATTGTTCCCACCTCCCTGTAAAGCAAGAACATAAAATATTGCATAGAGGTAAATAAATTATAAAAAAAATAATTAATGTCTTGCTGTCAAATTATATTTTGATTTCAGGTTTATTAAATTAAGCCATCACTAATTATAATTTTAATCTACATTTTGAGATGCATATTAAGCAATAGAAGCTGAATTTAAAAATGTTAAGTATTTGTTTTTTAATTAAAAAAGGTCACATTAAAAAAAATTGCTCAAATATAAAAAAAAAAAGCATAAACCTGACATCCACAGTTTTATTTGATTCATGATCAAAAATGTCAAAGGCATCTGTAATCTTTTTTTGAATATCTGCTAGTAGTGAATCTGTAAATAAAAGAATTTGAGGTTGTATTTTGTCTAATTTAAAAGCTGCTTGTTCACTTAAAAACCACTGGAAGTATTTGAGTCTTCATTTATATTCATCTGTTAGTTATGAATAATGTATTAAACATTAATTTTTAACTGCTGATTTGTTTAGTGTTAATTCTCTGAAGTATTAAAAATACAACAGTTTTTATTTTGTTAATAATAAAATTGAGATGTTGCACCTTTATTTTTGTTGGCTTCTGTCATTTTGTTTGTTTGTTTCTATGTATTTTATTTTGAGGGACAGAATGTTGATGAAGCTATTTTTATAAAAATATTAACATTGAGTTAATTGAGGGGAATAAGTTGGAAAACATAGGGGATAAGACGGGTAGAGGGATTAATTAAGGCTGTGTAAGTAGGGAGAGGTGTGAGTAATGGGAGAGAAAGGATGGGCTTTAGGGAAGATGATTCATTTTGTGAGCAATGGGGAGAAAATTATAAGGAAAGGGTTTGGAAAATTGAAAGAAACAAAGTATAGTATAGGTCTAAATGAATATCTTTGAATCTTTAAAATTAATAACTGTAAAAATAATAATCACAGCAAATTTAAAAATAATTATACTACTTGTTTTCAAACTAACTTGGAGTGAATTTTCGAAGGCTATCTTCTATTTTAAAACAGAAAATTATTATGTGGCCATGCTAAAAATAGACTGTAATTTCCATGCTGGCCACTACATAAAAATTCTAGTGGGGAGTTTTAGTTAACCATATTTAACTTTTACACTTAGCATTATTCAGGTATAATGTCAGTTTATGAAAATTTAATCATTTTCTTATATCCAGTCAATTTATACTTAGAGTTTAAACTGACTCAGCAGTGGGTAGCCAGTTGTCAGAAAGGCTTACCAGTGACTGAGTGAGTGTACCACCAGCCTACCATAGCTATTTATTATTTCTTAATAAATGTTATTTTGTAAGTGGTATTTATACCAATTAAATTACAAATGTTAATTTATACATAGAATTATTCGCTAAATAAATTAATTTTAATTTACCTGTACTTTCTTGCTTTTTACTCTCATTCTCAGCTGGTACGGACATTGTGTACCTCGGTTACTAACGTAAATATTTTGTTGATTTTAAAAAAACGTAATTATTTTCGCAAAAAAACAAATAAATTAATAAAATTTTAATATTCCATTTCTAAACAGATTTGACCTTTTTAGTTTTTATCAAACTATCAATGATTTTAAAAAACAAAACAAAAAAACCCGTTGTTCTTTGGTTTAAAAATATATGTTTGTTTTCGAATTTGCACCAGGGATAAAATACTGTTTTAAGCAGTATTTATTTTTCGATTTTTACTAAATCGTACTTCGTTTGGAATTATAAAAGCTACTAGCCGTCCGGCCATGTCCGGCGGTCACGTGACAAGTCGCCGGACGTGTAGACACTTCGTTATTTTTCACCATTGAAATTGAAAATCATTTTTAGTTTTTTAATAAATAGATTTAATAAATAGATTCATGGGATGTTTTTTATCTTCTCGGCGTACATTTCAACTTGACAAATTACAAACGTTTCAGAATCGAATTGTAAGAACCAACAGAAAGATACAGTTAATAGTATAACTGGACCTAATTGATATAGATCTAGGTCTATTCTTAACTTCGTCATTATCATCCTTCTAGTGGCCGGCTAAATTGTTTCTCATAAATCGTTCCAACCACACGATAAAATCTGATCTTTTTATTTGTAATTTGGCCTTAGAGTTTAGAGTAACTAATTAGACATTTTCTTAGCTGTTTAAGCATGGATCTTTTGGTACTAAAAGTAAAAGATGGAAACAAAGTCATTACATTAGGCCCACATGACCGATGGCTTTTTAGTGAGTGGTCTGTGGTAATTTGGTAAACTTTAAAAACAAAAAATCATCTTGTCCAATCGCAAGTAATTTGCACAAGATGCAGGCTGTGTAATATTGTTATAGGCGTAGACACGAGTCACAAGATGTGACGTTGTCTTGAGGCCTGATTCGGGGTATTATGTATTTAAAAATGAAAAATCAATTTTGATTTCAAAATAAGCATGGTTTTCTTGCTTTTACCGAGTACTTAAAACTAAGTTGGCTTCCAAAATTTTGTGTGCTTAAAACCTGGCAAATTCCTGTTATTAATTAATCCCTCACATTTTTGGAACTAAGTCACGTTGTAGATACTGTAAGACCTGCCCTTACGCTACTCAAACTAAACAAGTTGACTTTTCTAAGGGTTAATTTTATTAATAGAATATGGGTTCTCCTATATCAGCCTTAATGTTGTTTACACAAAAGTATGTAAACGTTGTCAAATATCTTAAATGGGAGAGACTGAATGACGACCTGCTGATAGGTTCATTGAACACCTAAGTAAAAATGCTGAAGACAATCAATGTCCGGGCTCTTCTCAATTCAGATGTGACCACAATGGCTAGATAGGTGTGTCCATTTCGGCTATTGTTCCCTCTACCAACACGCACGCAATAGTGACTTTGGAAACCCACCTGATACACATCTATGGGATCCTGACACCCTACGGTATTAATGTCATGTTCTCTTTTAATTGCTAACTCTCTCTCTCTCTCTCTCTCTCTTTCTCTATATCTCTTTCTCTCTCTCCACCCTTCTACATTAAATGGCTATTAACTTTCAGGGGGGGGGGGCAAAAATTTTTTAGTAATGTTTTAATGTAGTTTTAATTTACTGTCGCGTATTTGTATGGTGAACGAACGGACAGGACATCAGCTTAGTTCTCTGTGTGTGTCTCATATATATATATATATATATATATATATATATATATATATATATATGTGTGTGTGTGTGTGTGTGTGTGTGTGTGTGTGTATATATATATATATATGTAGGTAAAGCAAGAACTGATTTGCCTTAGTTTGTGTTCTTGCCATCCTGATATTTACCTCACATTCAGCATCCTTGCTAACCTTACCCTAGGGAGCCCTTGTTGTTTTATTTTATGGCAATCTTCCATCAATTCTTATCTTATATAATTTATATAATTTATATAATTTATTTATTTATTTTGTATATAATATTTTAATTTTCCAGTTAAATCTTATGGTTCAAATTCTTTTTATTTCATGGGTCACTTCCATAGTTGCCTATATCTACAATTTGTCTCTGTCTTTAAATGGTTTTGTTGTTGTTGTTGTTGCTACTGTCGAAGGCTTTTTGGCCAAAACTTTCATTTTCTGTTATTGTCCTTCTACAGGTTTGCCTCTACCCTTTGTATATTTCGTATTTCTTCAAACTGAACGCATTTCTGCTCGCGTTTCTCAATTTAATTAAGAGTTTGTTTCAAGAAAGAAAAAAAAATTGCTTTTCTTGGTTCTGCAGAATCAATATTATGAATTATTTCGGTCATAATCCAACTCTTCTTTCTTTCTGCAGATATTGTAGTGAAAACCCATCAAACGATCTTGGGGCATGGTATAACAAAGATCGATATGTTTTTACGAGTTTTTAGCCTGGAAAAGCTCATCTGAGCTATCAAAACTGTTGTTGAGAGTGTTCACAATATTGCCATTGTCACACAGATGCTTTTCAAAAAGACCGAAGCGACCAAGCCAATTTGGCCTAGATAATAAAATAATTGACCTCTGGGGGTTTGATTTTTCTATTTCTATTCCGATAAAGTCAAATAACCTATTATACAATTATTTTGCATCAATGTCCGCTGAAGGGTGGGGCGGCATAATTTCAAAATTTTGGCCCACCCCGGGTGGCATAACCCCCCCCCCCTTATCTATGCCAGTGCATAGCTGAATCTTCATTTTTAGATGCTTAAGCCAATTGGAGGTCCTGTACTTGCATTCTTTTTTAATCAAATGTCTGTAGTTTTTTTTTGATGATATCTGTAAAAAAAAAAATAAAAAAAAAAAACGATAATAAACTGAGGTATACAAACCTGGTTTAAAAAAAAAAATAATATTAAACCTTAAAATTCCCATAATTTCTTGGTCAAGAATTATTACCTAAAATTTCATACTCAAGTTTTCTCTTATTTTGTCGAGATCTTTGGTTTTTTCCCCCATTAAAAATAAGCCACTATACTTCCCTACAGGGAGCCATCTATATCGCTTATGCCTGCACCTCGTATATGGATTGAGTGCAGTGAGTTCATACATTGGGGACATATATTTAAACAATGCCATCTCTCTTCTGAACTTGATTTATTTTTAATTGAAAACGAGATATGCCTCGGTTAATAGTTGCTTGAAAGCTCCATTTCATTGAGGTTATACTGTTTAAACATTGAGAACAGAAATTATATGTTTAAAAAAAAAAAAACAGACTCTAATTTAAGCGTGCCTTGGTTTAATGAAACAAATTAAGTGCCCTTAATATTCAATTAAATGTAAATATTTAATTTGTTAAATGATTATCCCGACGCTGGTCCCAGCCATTACCGATCGACGATATATTTCCCCTAGCAAGCCGTATCTACGACCTCGAACTTGGTCATAAAGGTCCCACGTAAATGACACCACACACTACTGGCGGGGTTGGGGGGGGGGTATTGTGGGGTTGAAAAGGACGACCTCCGATTCGACTACATTAGTAGGCCTACAAGGTACAGAAATGTAACGCTGCCATACATGATACCAGGGTTTCTTTCAGCTATATTTCGGGGGGAGGGGGTAAGTTAAAAATAAGTCCAACAATAAATCAACTGGCACTGCTGGTACCGCCCCCCCCCCCGAAAAATCTGAAGTGCCCCCCCACCCCCGGGGGAAAATTTCTGAAATAATCACTGCATGATAAACAACCAAATCCTCAACAAACTAATGGGCTCTAATATAAAATATTGAACTGCTCCATCACGGCGAAACTGAACACAGATAAGGGGTCATTCGGAAATTACGTCACGCCTCGGGCGACATTTAGTTACGCCACAGCGTGGGCGGACAAATAACTGATGCTCCCAGGTCAAGGTACACAACATTTAAATGACCTTCAAAAAATATCCAAATGTGTATTTAATATTTTATTTGTTTTTAAATTCAAATTGTTCCTTAAAAATATTTTGCATTAAAAGTAGCATTAAAAAGAGACATTTTTAGAAGACACTTCTCGCTGTCGCTGTTTCAGTGCAACCAAACTTATCCAAGTAATTTGAGATATTTAACTGATTTCCTCTATTACCGAACAGTATAAAACACGACCCAGTAACTTTCTATACGGACACGTTGCAAAGGTATCAGTGGGTGTACTCATCGATGACCAGCTTCTTGGCGTAGTCAACCGTTGATATTGCTTTCACTTCCGGATCAACAGTCATCTTAAGGACATCGTCCATTTCCTCGAGCGTCAGGGGGTCACCTAAAGTTTATAATTCATGTGTTAAAGATCTAGTCTTTCTCTCAACTTCTATCTCAATCGTTCTATCTCCCTCCCTCACTCAACCACACATTCTCTACTCCCGCACTCTCTCTCTCTCTCTCTCTCTCTCTCTCTCTCTCTCTATCTATCTATCTTTCTGAGCGTGTGTGTGTGCGTGCATGTATGTGAGATCTACATTTAAAATGTCTAGAAGCATGAGAAGTGATTGGCAATGTTTACTAAAAGAGTCGTGTTCTTAACTGTCTGTCTGGTTCATATGGTTGATATGTGGGATATGGTGTGTTAGTACACGTTTAATATTGTATAGAGTGGTTTAACTTGAATGATTACTCGATTAGTGTTTGCATATGCGTTGTTTTGACTTCAGTGATTACGCGATTAATGTTTGCATAGAGTGGTTTGACTTCAATGATTACGCGATTAATGTTCGTACAGAGGGGTTTGACTTCAATGATTACGCGATTAATGTTCGTACAGAGTGGTTTGACTTCAATGATTACACGATTAATGTTCGTACGGAGTCGTTTGACTTCAATGATTCAAAGGGCTAACATTATAATACCACAGGTTCGGTGAAATTATACAGAGCTCGAATTCGGCACGCATATAATCAAGGGCGCAGAAAGAGGGGGGGGGGCGGTCCAACCCCAGTGGAAAGTAATTTTGGTGCGACATTCATATGCCGTATTTATTGGCGTATAACACGCACCTCGATTTAAGAAGGAAATTTCAGGAGAAATAAAAATAAACCTTATATCGGCGTATAACACGCACACATCATTTGCCCCCCCCCCACCCACCCTATTTTGAGGGAGAAAAAGTGCGTGTTACACGCCAATTAAGAATGTGTTTTATGCATGCGTTGCAGTTTTCGTTAATGAGGGGCGGTTAAATCATGGACCTCTCCTTCACAAAGTCTAGCTAACTCACTATATCAAGGTGTAAATTAAGAGGGCCGTTTAATCGATCAAATTTAGATGCACTCTTGCGTCACGGTTTGAGTAAATATGCGAAGTGAAATTTCGAAGCGGAAGTGAAAAAAATATATCTTTCGAAAACAATATCCCCATTATACAAGATACAAAATACTTTAGAAAGTTGGTTGGCCCACTAAAAAAAACAAAAAAAAACAACAACAACATATATGTCCTATAGAACATAAACATTTTCCGAATGCACGACTTTTGGGGATCGTGGAAATTT